TTTAGTTTTAGTCCTACTCAAATCAAGGCTTTTAGACTCTAATGTAGACCTCCATAACTCAACTTTTTTTCTCGAACTCTTACGCCTTATCCAGAGAAGGATATCATCAGCGAAATGCATACACCAAGGTACATCCACATCCTCCTGTAAATGTCCGCTGTAAATGTCCGGTAAAAGCATCCATAACTAAAGCAAAAGGATATGGGCTTAAAGTCGATCCTTGATGTAATCCAACATAAATAGGAAAATATTTGGTCAATCCGCCTTCTATTCAAAGACGAGTAACCACTATATTATGCATATCCTTAATGACTTGAATAAAAGTCATATCAACACTTTTCTTCACTAGAAATATCTAAAGGATTTCTCTTGGAACCTTATCGTAAGCTTTTTCTAAATCAATAAAATCATATGTAGATCCTCCTTATTCTCTGTGTACTTCTTCATCAAACCTCTCAATAAATATATAACTTCCATAGTAGACATAATCGACATAAATCCAAACTTATTATGAGAAATCTTTGTAATACATCTTAACCTATGTTCCATTACCTTTTCCCATAATTTTAAAGCATTATACATCAATTTTATTCTTCTATAATTTGCACACTCTTGCTAAGAAACTCCTTTATTCTTTAAAAATGAGACCAAAATAGTCTTCCTCCACTATTCAGACATCTTTTTTCATTTTTAAAATAACATTAAAAAATTTAATAAGCTAAGAAACTCTCAAATCTCCTAATTATTTTCACACTTTAACTGGGATATCATCAGGTCATACAAATTTTTTACCCTTTATTTTGTTTAAATCTTCCTCAACTTCGACGGTAACAATGAAACATTTTATTATTATTAATGATACTAAAATCAATAAGGTCGATCAACACTCCTTTATTCTTTAAAAAGGAGACCAAAATAGTCTTCCTCCACTGTTCAGACATCTTTTTCATTTTTAAAATAACATTAAAAAGTGTAATAAGCTAAGAAACTCCCAAATCTCCTAATTATTTTCACACTTCAATTGGGATATCATCAGGTCACACAAATTTTTCACCCTTTAGTTTGTTTAAAGCTTCCTCAACTTCTTTTTTAATAATGCAACGGTAACAATGAAACATTTTATTATTATTAATGATAATAAAATCAATAAGGTCGATTAAATTTTAAGAAACTTCATTGAAAAGTTTATAAAAATAACTTACCCACCTATGTTGAATATCTTTTCCTAAGAAAAACACTTTTTTATTTTCATCTTTAATACACTTTACTTGAGTTAAATCTTTAATTTTTTTTCTTTTTGTTTGGCTTGTTTAAACATATAATTTTCATTCTCTTTAGTATCTAATCTATTGTAAAGATCACTAAATGTTTAATTTTTAGCCTAAAAAATTATTCTCATAGAATCCCTAGAAGCCATTTTATATTTTTCCCAATTCTCTAAACTTTTATATTTAAACCAATTTTTATTACAAAACTTCTTATATATTATCTTTTTTTGCCCATTATTATTCCACCACCAACTATTTTTATTTAGAAAATTTTCTTTTTGATTCTCCAAATACTCCTTTTGATTCTCCAAGTATATCTTTTGCTTGTTTAATAGTGTTTGTTACTTTATCTCATATAGAATTTGCTTCTTCATGAACATCCCAAATCTTAAAATCTTGAAGTTTACTTATAAAAATAATTTTATTTGTGTCTTTTAGACGTTTTCATCTAATTCTATAACAATGATTCCTAATATTCATTATTTTACAACTCTTTATCTTAAAATTCATAACTAATAATCGATGTTGAGTACTCAAATTCTCACTTGGAATGACCTTAAAATCCTTACATTCTTGACGAGCTCTTCTTCTCATAAGAAATAATCAATTTGTGTTTTATTAGATCCATTCTTATAAGTAATAATATGCTCATCTCTTTTCTTGAAAAAAATATTGGCAATGGTAAAATCATACGTTAAAACAAAATCTAATATTACTCTACCTTTTTTATTAATCTCTCTAAAATCATAGCCACCATGAGTATTTCTAAAATCTTCTACCTCAGTATCAACATCCATTTAAATCTCTTCCAATAAAAATTCCTTCTTCAAGTGGTATCATTTGTATTAATTCTTCTAGGTAATTCCAGAATTTTTTCTTTATAACATATATTTAAACCTACTTGAGGACCATAAACACTACTATTAAAAATCTTAGTATCAACAACAATCTTAAGTGCTAAAATTCTATATTCTATTCTACTAATTTTTACAACATTATCTATCAGACACTGCCATTGTAGGGTCCCAAGCCCCGAATATAAAAAGTGAAGGCTTGTATTAGGCGGTCGACAAATAGTATAAAATTTATCAAAATAATCATAGGAAAAAATTGAGGAAAAAACAATGATTAAGAAGATCCAACAAGATTAATTCAAGATTATAAAATAAATTGATACAATTAGGAATCTTTTTTTCTTAATTTCCATATTTTGTTCCTTGAGTAACAATCCAGTGAATAATACAAATGAGAACCTCAATTTGTTTAGAATTATTTTGAAAAGTTCAACAATTTCTTTCATACCAAATATAGTTAGTCATAATAAAAAAGCAAAAAAGTAAAACCTTTCATAAATATTACATTACCTTTTAACAAAATAGTTTCTTGAAAAAATTGACGGTTGTCATAATAAAAAAACCAAAATGAAAACAACCATGAATAAGAGAATGAAAAAATGGATATTCAAAGAAAATATGAAAATTAGATTCCATCTCATTAGAATAATGCACACAGTAAGGATTAACATGAATGGCTATACTAACAAGAATGTGATAAGTTTTAAGCCTTATATGCATAATTTTTTACATATGAAAAACAAATTTGATAGTATTCCCTTTAAGCCAACTCAACTTACTCCAAGCATGATAAATGAATTTTCCATACAAGGAGAAATAAACAAATTTGTGGGAGTAATAGTTTAAGATTTTCCGAAGGCAAGTTAAGCCATATGAAATATTACATATATTATCGATTAAATGAGGAGTATTAGAGTTATAAGTAAGAATACAATTACCATTATAATTTCACAATTTTTTATACATTTAAGGTAGTTGAACCAATTAAAAATGAAATACCCAAGTTTCACATATAAAGAGGAGCCATAAAACTAAGGATCAAAATAGAATCAGAAGTGGAGATTGTAAGAAGTCACCTAAAAAGTTAAAGAAAATTTGATCTTAAGAACAATTTTAACGATATCTTTCTAGAAAGTAGAAACTGAAGAACAGTTATTTCTCCAAACTGAATCATGATGATCAACACACCATCTAGTAAGATAAGAATTATAATTATTAATCCTTCAAATAATTTTGGCTTTGCATAAAGTATTAATAGTGTCAAGAAAGGAGAAACCAAGACCATCATTATGCTTAGATAAATTAACAGTACTCTTAGTGATAATATCCATCTTCTTATATCTATCATTATTATGAAGGAAATTATTAATAAGAGAAGAAATCTTCTTTGTATGTCCTTTTGGTAGAAGAGATGATCAAAATAAATAATATGCATAACTCCAAATAATATATCTAATTAATTTAAGTCTACCAGCCGCGAAAAGAATTTTTTCTTCTATCAAGCCAACCCTCAATGAAGTTTATCTAAAAGCTTATTACAATCCATAATAGTAAGCTTGGAATGTTTAACAGAAACTCTCAAATAATACCAAAATAAATCTTTCATAGTAAAACCCAAAATTTAACATAACATTCTACATAACAGGATCAAGAGACCTAGAAAAGCATATAGCTGACAAAAAGATAAGAAGTTTTACTGAAAATATTAAAAAAATAACATTAGGGGAATTTCTATTAGGAATTTTTGGGCAAGACGTGGGGTCAAGAGCAAAAGTAGAATAGGATATACAGGGAATCTATTTCCATTCACATATAACAGGTAAAAAAACTTTATTCCTTTTTATATCCAAAGTAATATAATCAGGGAGAGTATAATAAATAGATATTTGAATATTGAATTTAACAAAGGTTAATCAAGAAAATTTTACTGTAAGAGAATCAATAGCGAGTGGCACACTGAATTTACTTGCAATGTAAGAGATCCCAGACAACAACCAATAATATAGAAATAGATTAGGAATCTTAACCCAAACCAGAACTTCTTTGAAATCTTCTTTCACATGTATGAAATCAGAAGACCATTTATTTAAAATGAATGGTTTATCATTTAAAAATAAACTCGGACATTAAGCGTTTGATAGCTTGAAGTAGATTAATGTAGGTCCTTCTAAGTGCATATCCCACCAAGGCCAGATGCCTCTGTTGAGTGCTCTCCTTAGCTTGACTTTCAGATAAACAAACTTTATGATCACAAGAAGAATTATATGAACGATTAAAAGAAGAGGAAGAAAGATGTGTAGAGGTCAACCCCTTCTAGTTAAGGGAAAGGTCAGGGCACGGCCAGTAAAAATCGAGAAGAAGAGGAAGGAAGAGGGGGTAAAGATAGAAGATTCATAAGAACAAGAAGGGGCAAAAGCCCCAAAAACAGAAAGTAAACACTAGTAATCTATCATAAGAAGAGAAAAACAGGTTTTCCTAAGAGAAGGGAAAAGAAAACAAAAACCTATAGGAGCGCTCTCAAGACCCAACGATCTTGACAATGAAACTTCACCCCCCACTTTACTCGTAACTATCAAATGTGTTAATATATTGATCAAAATTAAAATGAAGAATTTAAAAATGTCAAATTTGATGCACACTTAAAAGCTTCTACAAAATTTTTTAATATGAAAAATGCAGAAAATTATAAAAGAAATAAATGAAATCACTATATTCACAAGGAATTCCTTATGTTTGACAACTTAAGGATAGCAAATCTTTTGGAGATTATTTAGACCAAAAAAAAAAATCATGGCCAAAGAATTGGAAAAAAAAAAAACTTTTTTTTTAATATTCGATCTTATATAATTGATTTTCTTCCGTTTTTTCAAACTTGCAGTCCATTCCACTCTACCTATCCGAGATGTCGCCGCCGAAATACCGAGGAGCCCTCACCGGCGGCTTCGATATCTGCGTCAGCTTCGGAATCCTCGTCGCCAACCTCGTCAACTACGGAACCCAAAAAATCAAAGCCGGCTGGGGCTGGCGTATCTCCCTCTCCCTCGCCGCCTTCCCTGCCCTTCTCCTCTTCATCGGCGTCCTCTTCCTCCCCGAAACTCCCACCAACATAATCCAGCGACATGGCGGCGATCTCCGAGAAGCCCGCCGCGTGCTTCAAAAGATCCGCGGCACAGAAAACGTCGAAAAGGAGCTGCAAGACCTCGCAACGGTCGTAACCAATGCCTCCAAAGCCGCGGAGGAAGAAAGCCCCTTTCGTCGCATATTTCGAAGAAACTACCGCCCCCATCTCGTAATGGCTCTGTTCCTCCCCTTCTTTCAGCAGGTCACCGGCATCAATGCCGTGAACTTCTACGCCCCTGTTATGTTCCGCACCATCGGGCAGAAGGAGAGCGCTTCCCTCATGTCCGCGGTGATCACGCGATGCATCTCCTTGACGTGCACGGTTGTGGCGTCGCTGTGGTTGGTGGACAGATATGGTCGGCGGCCTCTGTTTCTCACCGGCGGACTGGTGATGTTTATGGCTCATGCGGTGCTCGGCGGGCTTCTGGCGGCGGAGCTACATGATCATGGTTCGGTGCCTACTACCATCGCTTACCTGGTGCTCGTAATGGTCTGTGTTTTCGTGGGGAGCTACGGGTGGTCATGGGGGCCGCTTGCGTGGCTGGTGACCAGCGAGATCTTTCCTCTGGAGATAAGGTCGGCTGGGCAGAGTATTCAGGTGTCGGTGAACTTTCTCAGCACTTTTGCGGTGGCGCAGAGCGTGCTGGAGATGCTGTGCAATCTAAGATTTTCAACTTTCTTCCTGTTCGCCGGATTTGTTATGCTAATGACATCGTTTGTGTTTTTTCTGGTGCCGGAGACGAAGGGCGTGCCGTTGGATCATATGATGGAGATTGTTTGGAGTAAGCACTGGTATTGGAAGAGGTTTGTGGTTTCTGGCAGGGGCGGCGAGGAGGTAGAAGGAAGAATAAAGGATAAGAACACCGATGTTCTGATATGAAGGATTTAGGGTTTGCTGGTGAAAAATTCTTGGACTTGTGTTAAGTTTCTAGGCTTATTTACATATTTTATAACAATTTAATGTTAATGCCTGCGTGAAATTGCATTTTCTTTTGCAATTATTTTATATATATATATAT